CTTAATATTTTTTTGTGTACGTTGCTATTCGAATATTGTTTTTTAATATTGCTATTTCAATATTACTTTTAGGATATTACTATCTTCATATTGTTTTGTGTATATTGCTATTCGAATATTGTTTTTCAATATTGCTATTTCAATATTACTTTTAGAATATCACTTCTTGATTATTACTATTCTAATATTATTTTGTGAACATTATTATTCGAATATTGTTTCTTAATATTGCTGTTTCGATATTATTTTTAGAATATTACTATCTTAATATTATATTGTGTACATTGCTATTCGAATATTATTTTTTAATATTACTATTTAAATATTATTTTTAAAATACTATTCTTTGAATACTACTATTCAATATTGCCATTACACGCCTGTTAGAAATTTATTCCGATCAAAATTTCAAAAGTAAAAACTTCTAATAGACCTACAAACTTAATTTATAATCCACATCAGACTCTTCAGATATCACAAGTATCCACATACTTAATCAATACCCAAAGTATTTGCCTAGTTAATATTCGAATTAAATTCGCTGTATATTAGAATCACAAAAGTGCCCGAGAAAACGTAAACAAAAATTCTGCTCCTTAAAAATGCACATACCTCGATTAACATCTAACAGTAAAAACAATCATATAAAATACAGTGGCTAATGACCAGAGGTCGACGCGACATTTGAAGGAAAGTAAAAAGAACTGCTCGATCATGCAGACACGCAATAATTCGTGTAATTCCGGTCGTAATGACAGCTTGTCGCGTGCGTAATAACGAGGGAATCGATCACCATGGTTGGATTTGTTCGTGTAGAACCATAAGCAAAATTGCAGTTGGCGAGAAATCCACGATGAACCACGCCTTTTTATTGACGGACGTTCCGAACCGACGGTTTTCCACAATATTTTCAGAGGTGCAACGCGATGAAACCCATTTGGTCCATTATTAAGAGACACTCCGCCAATACGCCCCCATCATTTTTCATACGCGAAGAATGGGAAGGGCTTGACGGTCGGTTAACCGTCGCTTCCGGCTCGACGGTGTCGCATAGGCGCTTCCGCTTCCTGCGGTCGGTTCGCTGTGCTTGGTCGAAAGTATTTTAAAATAAAATCGTGTTCAACGAGGTGCTTATAATATTTCACTGCGAGAACCGCACACGGGATTTTAACCATGGAATAAATAATAAATATTGTATTGGTTTTTATTCGTAAATAACTTTCGGCGCAGGTTACAAATAATCATGCTTTCGAGAAAACTTCTGCAAGTAGCAATTTTTCTAAACGATGGTCATTACTAGACCGCGGATCTTTATGCAAAATAAAATCTTGGCGAACGTGTCTACAAAAATTGAACCTAAATTGGAATTTATTTTATTTTGCAAATATTGTAACACGAACCTTACTTTCAATCTTTTTTATATTGTTGTATATTGTTTGCATTTTGTAGGTTCTTGCATATTCAAGTTTCCTATAAATGCATAAAGATCCGCAGTCTAATTATTATATATAAATAATGTTTATGAACATTATTATATTCTTCAAATGTATGTCTTCAATTCATCAAAATCAATCTTGCCGACATAAATGATACAAAATTTGAAGTTGAACATATTTTGCCCTGAAGAAATAGGAGAAACTACAAGTAAAGATTACGCATTCACAGCGACAATATTTAATATTGATATGCAAGAGGTATTGGCAGAAATCTCCTTCGACTTCCACCTTTACATAGCCAGGCTCCTTTGTATTTTTCCTCTCCTTTCAGTAATATTTTCATTAAATCAACACCAATTTTTCAAAATCAATTTTAACGACATAAATGATACAAAATATGAAGTTGAACATATTTTATATCTCAGAAATAGCACATTGATTTTCTATCTGATGCTTCAACAAGTCTCCACTTTGTATGATTAATCCGTCCTAATCAAGATACACACGAGCTGTATTGAGCTAAACAGTCGAGGATTCTCGGTGATCTTCCATGCATCTGAACGTTGTATGCGCTCGCAAATAGAACTAGCTGCTGAACAATGCAACAAAACGTCTAAGTTTAAACGCGTCTTGTCCCGACCAACATTGAAAGCGTGTCGAGAATCCCGCAGATAGCAACTTGTCATGGTTCACCAGGTTCCTCTGGAGGACGTAGGCCTAGGTAAACGCAAGGCAGCGCGATCCAGCGACCTTTCTAACAGCTCGACTTTGTCGATACCGTTCGCTTAAGATTCCTCAACTTTACTGCACAAGAGGTTTAGTAGCTTTTGAGACTTTTCATACAGGAAGAGAATGAAAATAGTGAAACTGGCGAAACAGGTTCATTTATTATTATTGGACTGCAAATTTTCATACAAATTCATATTTTTATATATACAAATGAGGAACAAGAACGTAAATTAAAGTACGTTTGTCCTCCAAATGTTGTAGAATATATTTTGTTATTGATATTTTATACATATTTGAATTTAAGCACATCTCATACATTTTTTCATGTTTCCAGTTGCAATGAATGCATAAACTTCTACTGTGCAATAACTTCTTCTGTGTGTTATTATAAAAAGTGAATGTTCTGTTTCTTTTTTTGTTGGTATTGTTGGTAAAATTACCGAAGACACGCATAAACTAATTTGAGATTTTTGTTTAGAGACTATGGTTCATCGAAGAATGATAATTTCTGTTTTCTATTTATATTATACCTTATTTTACGTTGAAATAAATGAATTTAATTAAATATCTTACTAAATCATATGCATTTCCTCGGTTTACACAGTTTCCCATACAAAAAGCCATGATTTCGATTTATGCTAATATTTAGACTGGGTATCTTTATGCAAAATAAAATCTTCGCGAACGTGTCTACAAAAATTGAACCTAAATAGGAATTTATTTTATCCTGCCAATATTATCATATGAACTTTATTTTTAATCTTTTTTATATTCTTGCATATTGCTTGCAATTTTGTACGTTCTTGCACATTCAAATTTCCTAGAAATACATAAAGGTCCGCAATCTACTAACATTTGAGGAACCGATCTTATAAATAAAGGAATAGATGTGCGTAGATCCTTGACAGTCCCAAGCACGCTATAATTCTTTCGTTACATTTTTTCCAAAGACTTCGTAGGGAAACGTATCACGTAAGTTCACAGTTAGCAGTCGCTGTAGAATTCTTCCGTGGCTCGACGTACGTTGTACGAATGCTTGCGTTAGTTTAGCGCGATTGCTATTCCGGCGAGCGACGTTAACGATGTCGAAAGATCGAAATCTGGATCGAGATTAGCTGCGGAGCGGTTACAAGTTACAAGATTTCATCGGCGTGATTGCGATTACTCGTTACCGCGGCCGTATTCCAATCGAATCGCGGACAACCGGATGGGTAACTAACGATCGCTAATGACCGTTTCGCGCGGCCATTAAGGAAAATTCGCAGCGGGGCTTAATATCGGGCGCCGCTTCATTTCATAGGTAATCATCTTAATTTTCCGCTTCCCGAACCCGGAAACGAAGGGAGCACCGCGCTCTGCTCTGTAATCCGTTTCCTCGTTCCCTCGACTCCCATGAGGGAGAATCGCTGGGCTTGTTTCTACCCCTTGTCTTGCAATTAACGCTGGCATCCCTCCTCCCCTGATCGCGGATAGCAACGAACGTTTCGATTCGCTGTAGCTACGCGCATAGTTTTCATCATTAAGATATCTAATGGACAGCCGCCGAGTACAGTGAGTGTGACAAGTATATTCGTGTACCAAACAATTTCAGACTTAACTTCGTGAAACTTTAATACGTTAAGTAATTTTATATAAATATTGAATTTGTGTACGTACTCGAGTATCTCTGGAATAGATGCAATGTTTAAAAGTGGTATTTGTGGAATTAATATATTTATATAATATGCATTTAGTTATACATATTATATATTTTTCTCTTGTTAATTGTTCATATTATTTATATAATTAACAGGGAAAAAGGAAGCCTGTTCAACAAACTGTTTATGGAATGGATTAAAATCATCAGTATGTTTGGAAACGTTGTAAGTAGTATTTGAACTTTTGTAATACTCGAAATTATCGTTGAAAACAAAAATATACATGTCGAATTAAGTAACCTCCTCCTTTTCGAAGTCAGTTAAAAAATGGGACGAAGACGTTTTAATTATAATCAGACTTTGATCGAATGTCGATTTTCTTTTTCCATGTTAATTGTGTAAATTAAACAAATACTACTTGTTTGCATTGTATATATTCTAGACATAATCGATGACACTCACATTCATTGTTTATAAAATGTTTGTTAATATACTCGAATTTTTAGCAAATTATGAAAATATGAAATTCTTTCTGTTATTCGCAATGCCTGGTCAGTTTCAAAGGAAAAGAACGCGTACATGACAAACTCGCTACACATTTATCAGGAATAATTTAACCGCTTCAAGGATTCTGGAATATACGAGTACGTTAATTTTTAAGTTACTTTACATACTATGGCATGGAGATGACTACTAGAATAGTTATTCATAATATTCGATTTTCCATTGAAATATAACGATAACATTGGTACAAGATTGATAGATATTGCGGATCAATTGCATAATTATGGATTATACTCATTTATAAAATACTGAGGATTTTAATAAAATAAATTATATTCATAATGAAATGAAATTAAGCATATGAAGCATGAAT